TCTTGGCTGCCGCTGCCGTCTTGTTTCTCAAGCTTGTCTCCCTTCATGATTTCGCTCTTGGCTGCCGGTGCCGCCGTGTTTCCCAAGCTTGTCTCTGTTCCTGATTTCGCTCTTGGCCGCCTTATCATTTTCTTGCCTGCCTTTGACGCGGATGCTGTTATAAGATGATTTAGGTATTGTTTACCTTTTCCATCCTTTTCCCGGCTTTCAGTGGGATGTCTCCCAAGCTTGTCTCCCGCTCTTGCCATGGTGTCCAACTTTTCTTGAAGTGCTATCTGGGGTCTATGCCGGTATAATTTGTCTATTTTGGTAGTTTGCCAGGCATGTATGCAGGGACAGTGGCCAGTGCTTTGCGTAAAGCCTTTGGAGACCAAAGAGCGGTTTCTTGGCTACATGATTACATGTATCTTGAGACCCTGCACTGTAAGTTGTTCAAAGCTTCATGGTTGAAATGACATTGTTACTATTGAAGTGAAGATGCCTGGAATATGGATGTTCCTCGTGTTCAGATTGACTTCTTGAAATCCTCAAGATCGCTTTGGCAGCAGGGTCCATGTCAGGCAATCTGAAGGGACATTTTAGAGAAAGGCATGACATAAACTTGATGCTCGAGTGCCACTTGCCACGTGATACCAAGAAGTTGCCACGTGATACAAGCAGAGTTTGGAAGTTGCAGGCCAGTAGAGAATATCCAGAAAGCACTCAAGGCTGGCAGCTCAAGCACATCACTTTGCGCAACATCAAGCTACCTTAGAGAGCTGAGCTTTAGCACACTTTCAAGCTTCATATTACAGTATTTTTTTGTTCATTGTGTTTGATTGGGTTCATTCCCTTTGTTGCTCTGAAGGTGTGCACATCCTTGGAGAAGCACCTGGAATCGTCGTCCTTTTGAAAGAGGCAGACGTGCGCACGGTGGCTTTGCCCAACCTGCTGACTTCCAAAATGCATTGAAGCTCCGCCCAGTGCCAGCCAAGGAGGCACTTGTGAATGCAGCAAGCAGCAAGCTGAAAGAGGACGGGACCTTTATATTTCTAGCAGTGCTCTGAAAGCTGCTTAGATAGTCAAGGAAGCTACTAGGGGCTTCTGGCCTTACTACTAGGAGCAAGGACGCTACTAGGGGCTCCTGGCATCGCTACTAGTAACAAGGAAGCTATATACTAGGGGCTCATTTGGTTGATCCCAGAGGGCGCCCGGCTGATGCGCAGGAGCTTTTCGTGGTGTCCCGACTGGACAGGCCAACATCTGGCCTATTGCCTTTGGCGAGGAATGTTCCAGCAATGAATTGGCTACAGGCCACCTGCCACAAGGATTGTTCCGGTTCCCTCCAGAGTTGTTTGTGTCTTCGGGTCACACAATCAAGGTAACTTAAGCCTAGGAGGTCTTGAAGCGTGCAGGTTTGGGATTGTGCAGCTGAGGCCCAGTTTTCTGCTCGACTTGTGCAGAAGGAATATGCCACTTGGTGGAGCGACTCTGACACTGCGACACTGACAGTGTGACACTGAGTGGAGCCACCGTCAGGTTTGCCTATGCGAGGGGGAGTCCTTGGGGAAGATAGGCCAGGTAGCTTTGCACTCTGCATTCTCATCTCTTTGTTGCTATATTCAAAGACAAGTGACGTGAAAAATCGATAGAAGGCCATGCTTCTGCATCCGAATCACTGTGGTACAGGTACACGTGGAAGTATTGAGGAGCCGCTGCATGCATGGATTTGGCCTGGCGAAGTTGGCAGGACAGTTCTGAAATGTGAACTTCCTAGTACCGATGCCCTTTGCTCCTAGTAGCTTCTTGCTCCTAGTAGTAAGGACAGGGGCCCCTAGTAGCCTCTTTCCCAGTTCTGAAATGCACTTCCAAGGTTCCAAGGGTGGACCCTCGCAGAGTGCTCACAGGACGGAAGTTGCTCCTTTCGGCCGGGAAGCCATCACACAGTACCAGGTAGATGGGCGCTTCGGTGATGGAAGAGGCGAAGGCTCACAGTGGTCTGACACAGTGACAGATTCAAACGTAAAAGCCACCACTCGAGGGTCTGACCATTTCCTTGGTCAGGTTCACCGCTGGAATTGATGCTACTCTCAGTGCATCCGAAGACAGGCAGTAAGATGAACCGATGGAGACGGTCTTGTCTCCTCCACCTTTTATTTAGACGCCTCATGGCTTTGTGGGACAGAGTTTGAGGTTTCCATGTTGCCACGGAAGCAGGAAGTGTCATGAACAGAAGTGTTGCACCATGCACCATGCTAAGATAATAAAAGGACATAGACCCACCACCTCTCGTTTTGCGCAGGGCGAATGCACCAAATTCGAGCACACCTTGCAAGCACAGGACGCCCAATCGTTGGCGATGTGATTTATGGCCCCTCGGCAGGGATAGTCCACTTAGGTTGGAGAAACAGTTCTAAAAGCAAATAAATGCATTCCTTTTCCTTCTCTTTTTCTTAATGTGCTAGGTGCTAGGTAGTTTCTCCTCCCAAGGTAGTAGTCGCAGTCTCTTTGTTTTTGTCGAATGTCAGGACCAAGTCAATTTGCAGTTCAGAGCTTCTTGGTTCAGTTCAGAGTCAATATATTTTCCACATCCAGTTGCTCACTTGCGGTGCAGAAGGGCGCACGTTTGCTTGATTTAGAGTGTTGCATGATTCTATGCGCCTTTTGCTACGTTGGATCTTCGCCTTTGTGCAATCACATCACTTTCAAGGTGATCGCATGTTTTTGCACTGCCGACGTCTGTGCTTGCTGGACCTAGAGGCAAAGCCATTTGAAATTGTGGCCGATTTGCCGCAGGGGCTGCAGGAGCAGTGTCACCACAGCACAAAACTGGAAAGGTCAAAAGACAAAAGATCGCTGGTGCCATGCCTCTTGTCGTGTGAGCCTGAGACTACCTGGAAGAACCCGAGGAGCTGCTGCAGCACTTGCAGCCGAAGTCTGAAGGGGAGGCTGGTTGAGGCTATTCTGCTTTCAATGCCTGGAACGGGTGAAGTGGATGAAGCCGCTGGCTGCACTGCAGCACTGCATGGAAATTCATTGAACTGAAGCTTGTTCCAGGAGCTTGATGTGCAGAAGTTTCAATCGTTGTCAGCACCTGCATGCTTCAGCTTCTGACTCTATCGTTTGTGAACAATCCCAATCAACTCTGTGTAGGAATCTTCAAAAGGCGTAGCAAGCAAATGCAAGCACTGGCTGCATGAAAGAGCCTTTTTTCAGGATGCATTTCACAGTCAAATATGAATGATAGGCTAGGGCTTGGATTGCAGCACTGCATGGTTCTGGACACCGAGGTGTCATGAGGTTGAACCGTCCCAAAGAGCTGGTGCTGACTGTGTGCGGCGGGAGGCCCTGAAGCACTTTTCAGTGAAACCCGTGTTGCAGTCATGCGATTCAGGAAGACTGTAGATCTGGCCACTGTAATCATCCACTGCCTTTCCACCATGCTGCGGATGAGCACAAGACCACTTTGCATTTGTGCAGGCAGTGATGTTTCAGGGCAAGGGGGTGATGATTGGATCAGAGGCAGGATGTTGTAGAAAGGGTCTATGCCGCGAGCCTTTGGGCCAAACAAATACAACTCGAAGCTAGGAGGAGTGGTGTAGCTTAGAGATTCCTTTCTGTCCCAGCGAACTTGTTTTTGGTGCTACTGTGTTGAGAGACAATATGTTCCCTCAAGTGATCAGTTCCAGCTATAAACGTTGTCTCATTTGTTTCTCCACCAGCTTGATGTGATATGATGTGATAGTTTTTGGTGCTTTCAACTGCAGGGCCAGCGTTTTCTTGTCTTCAAAGGGGAGATTGTAGCTGGTGCAGAGCTTTGTTTACAACTCAACTCAACTTTGAATGACAACGCAATCTTATTAGAACTCATCAGTCATCACGCTGGCCCTTGTGGCTTTTTAGAGGACCGGATGAATGACCAGCGCCGCCAAAGCGAGCGAAACTTCTCAGACCTGTTTGGTACTGCGAGCGCCAGGCACTGTGCTGCACTTTACTGTGACAAGCACTGATCAAACTTGATTTGGCACTGGCCATCCGGCAACCTGGGAGGCCATTGCAGCTCAATGAAGCTGGCCGCAGCGAATTTCACTCGTCCGCACCTTTTGCTTTTAGGGCGGCCTTCAACAGGATGTTTTGCATATGTACCCGAACGACTCCCACCCTTGTGTGACCTCCTGCAAACTCACTGAGAAGCGCGACAGCGTCTTGGATGGATTCTACAACCGAGACGTCTGCCAGGACCTGGATTTCTCTGAAGTTGCTGGGGTTTGTGTCCACCGGAGATTTCAATGAAGTCTTCACAAGTCCTCCGGATGCCGTCAGGAATTTGCACCGCCGCAGCTGGGCCCTTGGTGGCAGCACGGAAGGATGAGGACCCTGGGCCTCTTTGGACAATAGCAGCTCCAATAGCAATGGCCTCCAACCTAATAAGGAATCTAATAGCGATTGCCTCCAACCTAAAAGCGATGGCCTCCAACCTGATGGCCTCCAACCTCAGAGCCATGGCCTCCATGATAGCGATGGCCTCCAACCTGATGGCCTTCAGCCTGATGGGGATGGCCTCGAACCTGATTTCCTCCAACCTGATAGCGATGGCGTCCAACGTAAGAGCGATGGCCTCCTACCTGATATAGCGATGGCCTCCAGCCTGATGGCGATGGCCTCCAACCTAAGAGCGATGGCCTCCAACCTAAGAGCGATGGCCTCCAACCTAAGAGTGATGGCCTCCAACCTAAGAGCGGTGGCCTCCAACCTAAGAGCGATGGCCTCCAACCTAACAGCGATGGCCTCCAACCTAATAGCGATGGCCTCCAACC